GGTATGCTTTGTAACTTATAGGAAGAAAAAAAATAGGAGTAAGTCTGGCAAAACACAATATTGTGTAAAACGTGCGATAAATAAAGAATGGAAAAGAGAAAGAGCATAGAACGAACAAACCGACATGACGAAGCAAATAAATGTAAAAGTGAGTACGACGGATAATAATTATGGTGTCGATGAAGAAATCTTAACGTTTTATTTTCTGTCTGTTTATATGATTCTCTTTCTTACTCTGCATCCCAATTGGTTTTCCTTCCTTAAAAAAAGTGACGTTTTTCTCACTACGCCTTCGAAATATACGTCACAACTTTACAACTGTGCATTGTCAACTTTCTCATATCTTTTGTTTACAATATTTTCTTTCCATCTACAGCAACGAGATAATTTTGTATTAACGACTTGCACTCTTTTCTGTTTCGTGGTCGTTCAGAAGACAAAAGTCGATTCATGCATCTAGGAGAAATACGAAGAAAAACCCATCTTGGAGGTGTGAATGAGTGTTCATCTCTTACCCACATCCTGTATAAATATCAAGATTTTATTGTAATAAACAAAAATAAAGAAATTAAATACGGTGTGTAGCTACGAAAAACACTAAGAGAAAATTAACAATAGCACATATAGGCGACATGAACGAAAATGAAGACATAGAGGAAGGCACCTGAACTGTACCCATAATATCGCCCAATATAACACTACCCCCATTGCGACTAAGAAATTTAATTCCAGTAATTGGTATATCATTCGTGATTGGAATTCTTACAGTCTCAAACATAACAGGTAAGAATGCAAGCTTTTCTGGTGGCATATCCATCATAGCATTGCATAGAACAAATTGCATGTTGTACCGACTCTTTAGAGATACTGTAGTAGCTGTAATAAAGCCGTTTGGAGTTTGCAATTGAATTTCAGTTTTCATTTCTCTAGGTTCAGCACATGTAGATGGATGTGTTGATGTAAACCAGCATGAACTTCTACGAGCCAAATGAATATCAATAGTCATTAGATTAAGTGTATGTGTTTTGTCGAAAAGAATCAGAATCTCGTCTTTAGTAGAATTACCAAAATCAATATGAATTGCATTCTCGATTTGATCTAGACAGTCCAACGATAAGTTACCTTTTTGTGGTGGACTTGGCATAAAAGTAAATTGTGGAGGTCGAATTAAAGAAGCATCGTAAGCTTTAGCAAAGGCATTGAACGTTGATTGTGCATATTCTTGTAGTGGCATCATTTCTATACCAGGAGTGCCGAATATGTTATCACTTCCATTGAAGAGGAGAATTGATTGTACAGGATTGAAATACTGTCGTCCAATTTCAGAAAGATCACCCGAGAGTCTAAAGTAATTTGTTATATTCATTCATTAGTTAATTAATTAGTTTTAAAATGATTTACGGAGTAGAAGGATCGAGCAAGGTTGCCAATGAAGGATCAGCATTGATACCAACATAAGCACGAAAAAATGATGCTAATACAAAGATAGTTATTCTACGTTGTGCTTCAGATCCGTTAACTTTTGGCAAGGTAAAATCTAAGAATGTATTGAGAGTGTATGGAAGTATATCGCTAACTTTGAAGGTTGTAGCATTGACGTCCCACAATGGATCTTGGTCGCCAAAGCACGAGGGTATACCAATTTGCCATTCACTATTAAAATATTCATGGTTAGCACCTAAAAGGATATTAACAATATATTACTATTCGAAAACAGTAGAATGAGCACTAACCATAGACATGCACAACATAATTTGGATGTTTCGCAGTCTTCATCTGTTCAGATGCCAGTCTTACATGAGCTAGAAAAATAGAATAACTAATATGATCATATTTCTCGTTCAGATTATGTTCTTAAAAAAGTGTAAGATAGCCTTATATTGTAGTGAAATCTAATGTTACAATTCAATAGAAATTATTTTAACTCTTGGAAAATTTTGATTCGTAAAAGTCAAAGTCATCAGAAAAAAAGAGATGAAGAAATCTACACACTCACCATAATCGAGTTCATCATCCTCACATCCTGCTACCATCATTGCCCAAGGAACATTGTCAACAGTTAATTTGATACCGTCTCGTCCATAATACATTGGTGCAATTTCCATAACTGCTCTAATGTTCATTCCTGCCAGTCGATTTCTCCACATCAAAGCATCGCTTGAACCTTTGTTTTCCATCAACATATTATAAGCATTTCGAACTCCTTCACCACCACGCGAATGTCCCATCAATCCAACTTGTGCAAAATCAAAATGACCGGATAGATCAATTCCATCCAACACTTGTTTACACTTTTCAGCACTATCATTCCATTCTTTCATTTTTTCTAGAGTCTTAAGAACGAGGCGTGCTCTAACAAAGTTTAATGTAATATCGCCATCAATGCCTGGTTTATTATTGATTGAAACGACATCGATCGAGGCGACAATATAACCATATGATGCAAAATATCGTCCAAGATAAGAATATCCAAGATGATTAGCAACTTTAGACATACCATCTGGACATTGACCTTGACTATCCGTAGAATTGATGTCGATAGCAGGATATCCGAGAGGGACGGGTGTACGACAGTCAGGATGTTTTCCAGGAAGAAAGACAAGAATAGGAAATGGACCTTTCCTATTGACTGCTGTGAAATTCGGATAATAAAGTTGCCCACGAATTTGAGTTGTAAGATTGTTTGAAGATGGCGTCATTTCTATGTCGTAAGTAGTCGGATATTCATAAGACGTTTCAGCAATACCAAAAGGACCATTCTCAAAGATGCTATCAATATCAATCTTTGTTTTATCACTCTTAAATAGTAAAAGAATTTTCATTTGCACATTACTAAGAATGTCTTACCGTATTAGGAAATCCTTTGTAACTGTCGAACAGCACAATGGAAAACACAACAAGATAGCCGAAATGCATGGCCATCTGATCGAGATCGTTTAACAGAAAAATATGAAAACAAACGATTTGGAAACGTTGTATCTGTCTGTAACATAAAAGAAAAAATTCTTTGAACTAAATCTTAGGGAGATGTTTGTAGGATCAAAACAAAATATCTTTTTAACACGTCGACAACATTTATGTATTCTGATATAAGCACATTATTACAAAGACAATGTTTAGAATAGCTTCGCTCGATTCAATATAAGCTAAAAGAGTATGACTGGTCTTATTTTCTTACTTGTTTTTAAGCAAAAGATGTGTTTTGAATTGATAGAATAACAAGTATGTAGATCAAAGTAGTTTTTTTTCAATTCTTTATTATGATAAAAATAACAAGAGAACATGACAAAAGTAACAGAAGATTAGCTTATTCAAATAGTGTTATCAAGCTGTAATTCTTACCTGTATTAAAATATAAGAGACAAATTCAATTGTATGCTCGATGATTCACATAAATATTTGCTCATACTTTTATCTTTCTATTAGCAATTCTGTTGCTCGCTTCATTTTAAGCACACTGCGATGAAATACGAGTGTGGGTGTTGGTGTATTGTGGTTAATATGCTTATACCCACACCCTCAAGTTACAATAAGTGCACAAAGTCAAAAACTATTAGTGAATAGTGGTTTTGTAGTTGGTGAATGAATTTATTAACTTATAAAATAGATATTAATTGTTAACAATCATACAATAAAAAAATAAACGAAACCTAGTTTGACAAGCGTTTCTAAAAAAGTAAGTAAATGTAGTTAACGTATACGGCTAAAAGTTTGTTTTGATTTATGAAGGCACCGTTGATAATTTAATATTGAATTCAATCGCCATCCAAATATCATACGATTGATTTGGTACTGAAGCGTCGACACTGTTCTTCAGTATATCTCTGCTAGTAAGAACTTTGTTCTGCTGTTGACCTACTGGCGCATCGCTACCAGACTGCCATTTGTGCCAAGGATATATAACAGTTCCGTCGTTACGTAAAACCGGTTGCTTTTTAACATCAATATCCCATAGAGGACCATGCTCATAAAAGGATGGTATATTTAGCTTGACAAAATCGGAGTCCAACATAGTAAATGGATCGTAAGTTTCCTGGGAACTATTGAGATATTGCATACCACTATTTCCATTTCCATTTATAATACAAGTATGAACTTCACAGAATCGATCGGTAGCATGATTATGTACACCAGCATTTGTACCTTTTCCAGCAGCCCATAGTTGCATGTGACATAGATGCTCGTCGTTATCAGCAAATTTAATGTTAAAACCTCTCATATTATAGAATTCAACATCTTTGAATTTCTCCTTTCCCCATTCAAGTTGATCAGCTTTAGTAAATTTGAAACTAAGTTTACGCGCTTCTTCAGGACAATGTTCAGGTAATGAGTTTTCCAACATAACTTTTCCAATCGAATCGAATTGAGGAACATCATTCATGCCTTTTGGCATTTGCATTACAATAAAAATGGCACCATCATTACCAGTCTTTACTCTCTTGTCGTCACTATTTACTTCAAGCGAGCAAATACTTTTTGGTTGACATAGAAACGTACGCGATTGATTTGTTTTCGTGGAAGAATCTACCCACATTAAAACACCCGAGAGAACTTTGACATAAGTATTGTTGCTCACTTGACGTGAACTAAATGGTGGTAAAATTTCTAACGATAAAGTTATACCTCCTATTGTCAAAAATGTCAGCATTTGGTATTGGGATACTTTGTTAGGTCTTGGAACTGTGAACAGAAGTTCATCGTTTTGTTTCGTCACTTGTAATTCTGGTTTACTCTGTAGCATCGTATTGACCTGTCGATTGTAAAAGATATTGATTGAAGCATTTTTTGCTAGATGATAACCAGCAACACGATAGCCAATAGTTGCAAAGTCAAGAAGTCCATCATTGTCGAAGTCGGCAAGAGCGATTCTACCAGCAGATTCATCACTAATTTTCCATTTGGCAAATAAACCACGAGAAAGATCGAAAGCTTTATAATAATATACACCCTCATTTGGAGCTGGTCCACGAAGTGCAAGTAAAAATTCATCTTCTCCATCTTTGTCAAAGTCAGCACAAATAACATGATGACCTGGACCTTCCCCATTCTGATTAGGATATCCATAAACATCCAAAATATGTCGTTGCCATTGAATTTCTTTCGATGAACTATTAATAGATTTAACGTAGACAGCAACGATATCACCATGGAAAGGTTCAATTGCAGGAATATAAGCAATAGGATCATTTCCAATTCTTCCAATATCAACACCACCAGTACCATAGTAATTTGTCTGTTGTTTTTCTTCCTGTTCCCCATCTACAATTTTCTCAATTGTCCATTGTTGAGAACTTTCATTATAGTAAAACCAATGAAGACCTTCGCTTGATGCAATGATTAGCTTATCCAATGATTCACCACTAAACATTTTAGTATCATGAATTAAATGAAAAAATTCACTTTCAATTATTTCACTATCCCATGAGGTCGCATTTAACACATCATCAGGCTGTCGGAATAACAGCACAGGTACTGGTACATCAAATGGTCCATTTACAACAGGCATACCTATAATTTCCCAACGTTCAGTTTGTGTGAAGTGTCCAATTTTAAGTCTATGCATTGTAGCTGATTTTCCAACATAATGTCGTTTCCATGGTTCTTTGCCATTTATGTTTCCTGGATTCTCCAACCATATGATGTATCCTCCATCAGGATTGAAATCCAGAATTGTATTACCATAATCAAAGCAAATAATAATGTCTTGCAATCCATTTCCCGTAATATCCGCTTGATCCATAGCAATGGGAGTTAATAGTTTTTGAATACTTATCGGATCGGTTTCATTTGTATCTATGTATGGATTTTGATAAAACTTGATGTCACCTTCGGCAAGTCCATATGCTATAAATCCAACAGGAGTATGATTGTTAGATTGAAAAGGTTCAATCCAGTATCCATCTTGGATGTGCTTATTAATTCGTTGTTTCTCAAAATTAGGGCTGTAGCTTCCCTTGCCATAGGGTTCGGACGACACGCATAATAAACATAATAGCATAACAAAATACATGACACAGTATCTTGTATCTATCGTATGAGAGTATTGTAGATACATTCAAAGATATGTATAAAATGTAATATGATTGTTGTGCAAATGGTTCCGTATAAGTTGTATGTGATTAGAATTAAAGTCGATGCTTGTTGTATTTTTTCTTTCGATTCTCGTGATTATATACTAGTACTGCTGTGGTACCAGCGCAAAAATCCACTTCCCGAATTTTGTGATTAAAATTGAGTCATTTACATTTAGAAATAAATAATCTTAACTCATGAAATACTTCCTCAATTCTATATCAAAATCTGAGTCATTTACATACATTAATGAGTTCTGTTGACATATGACTATTGCGATTATACCAACAAATTGTTTTCGTATTAATGCACAAAGTAGTTCCTGAATCCTATGTAAATGTTCGGGTCATTTACATATTTCTTTTCTCTTCCTCTATTTTTTAAAGTGCGTTTAAATATATATGGATAAATAATATCAAAAATATTTACTTAATCTGTAGTTCTATGAATATCAATAAGAAACAAATTCAATTAACTATGTTTAATATGCAATATAAAAATGGAGAGATATTTTATTGATGATTATTATCAAAATCTGTATCGAGAACATAATCGAATTACTTCATTGAAACAACCAGAATAAATCATTCCTCTTGATCAACGTCTCTAGATATTTCAAATCATCAACATAATTTATTTTGAGGGCGGGTATAGGTGCCTTCTCTCTATCTTTCATACACCCACACCCTAGTTGCAACGAGAAAAAGTTCTCCTTCTTTCAGTTTTACTCTTATCGCTTGCATAGACCACGAGGCTTTTTTTCTTTCCTTGCATATGACAACAGATCATGTTTGTCATGCCTTCGTTTTTCAACAACAAAAAACATACTTGGTTACAGGCATACGAATGTGTGGATTTAATATGGGTGTGAGTGTTTGACTGTAATACAATACTATCTACATCCACATTCTCAAAATTATGAATCACACTACGTATCGCGCCTGAATCATAAAGAGTGTGCCACAAAATAAACTAATACCTTATCAAATATTACCTTACTGTTTGTTCTCTTTTCTTTTTGAAAAAAAATACGGCATATAAAACGCACGTTTTTTTATATTTTTTTGAAAAAATAGAAGAGGTTTTTTGTTACACTTTATCATTTAAAATACATTACAAGCTATGAACAACTCAACGTTTACTCAAGGTGTACCACGTGCAAAGCAGATCAACTATACACAATTTGAAGATGCCTTCTCAGCCGCAGAGTTACTTATCGAACTGTTCGAATACTTCGCTGCTTTCGAACTCTTCACTTCATTCTACAACTTAAATACTCGACTAAACAATGTTATAGAACAACACACTCCCTTACACTTAAACTCATACCTATCTCCAAAAAACTGGAATCAATTAGTGGAGAAATTACTTCCTAAAGTTAATCCATATCAACTGAAGTCTATCCTGATACATCTAGATCCCTCTTGTCAGCCGAAACCACTAACACTAGAACGGAGTCTTCTCAGAAAACAAGTCGATCTTCGCACATTCGTTGGCGGCATTCGTCTACTGATACTCCAGGACATAATTAATCTTGGCTCAATCATCCCACTCTTTCCATACTTCTATCAACTTCGTCGTCTCACTGTTCGGCACAAATTTTTTGAAACTAGCCACGAACTGTCTATGGCAGAAGATATTCAGTTCTTTTCGCAATTACCATCAACTGTGACACATCTCACTTTTAGCGAAGCTGTCATCGCTCCATTCGCTGGCACACTAGTATTACCAGGTGAGCATCTGCTCAACGTCACTACTACTGTGAAACATCTGAAAATAAAACGAGCAACAACTGCAGCTTTTCTCAGTCTGATTCCAGTATTTCAGTCTGCTCTGTCAATAGAGATTACAGATGTAACGTGGATCGATCACCAGGAATACACAGCGGCATTATCCAAGATAACTCTTCTTCCGAAGCTCGCGAATTTCAGAGTCAACTTCGATCATGTTCTTCATCTGAACTTCGAACATCTCAAATTGATCTTGGAACGGATGCCGAACTTGAAAAACTTGTCGATTTCAGTTGTGTATTGCAAAGCTGCGTTTGTTTCTGATGGAGAACAGTGGAACAAGCTCTTAGAACTGTACTGCCCAGTGTTAGTAAACTTCTACTTGAAGCTATGTCCAAACTTTATGCGACAAAATGTGACGGAAGAAGAGATTAATTCATTCAAAATAATAGAGCTTCAGACGAAACGAAATGTCGAGTTTAAACGTGGATCAATTTATCCGGACGAAAGCTATGACTTCGATATTACATCAAAAGTTACTTTCTGAATATGTGTCAAAAAAAAACATTCACTATTACTCTGACTTTCATTTCTGAGAAAAAATAAATATTGCTCTTATCTGATTAATGCACAAAGAAAAGAGAGCAGCTAATATTTTCTGTCTTATCCTTAGGGTGTCGGTATCTGATCATAATAAAATGTCACTCACACCCTCAAGATAGTATCACCTTATTTACAATGCAAGTAAGCATTTCGATTAGTTATCTAAAGCACGTTAAGAAGAAATTTTTCATCGAACCAAGGGCTGTAGCGAGGAGATACCTAAAACAAGAATTTTTCAAATATGCTATCGTGTGATAAAAATAACAATAGATCAAGCGAATATTGAACAGAAGGTGGGCGCATAGCATCAGATTTTAGCTTACTCTGAATCAAATGAGTCTATAGAGTCATTAATGATATGCTACACATTTAAACAAATTCAGTAATGCAGTGACTTGTCCTATAGTACTTTTATAATCTGTGAGACAGTATTTTGATAACATTGTACGATGGCGATTGTATCTTGTTGTTATTGTCTTTCCATGAAGTGCTAATATAAGAAGTTTGCCGTTTAATTTGACTTCACTTCTACATGTTACCTCTCATTCGTAGAAAACGTATTATATAAGAGAGAGCAAGTGATGGACATAAAACAGATAATATTGATTGAAAAGGTGAAGAAAGATTGAATATGTAAGAGGATAACAATAGTAGACATAAATTGATAATCAAATAAAAATCGGACGATACATTGAGACTGTTGGAAAACGCTGAAATAGTTTAGAGAGAAAAAACATCTGAGGAAATTGAGAGTTGCAAATTTCAAATAAAGAGTAACCAATGAGAAAAAAGCAACTAAATTTTCCATTGACATGTTCAAGAGTCTTCAACGTTTTTCTCTTTCCGTATTTTCCTCTTCTTTTTCTCGGCGTTTCTACTAATGAATGGAAAGCACATGCGGTCACCACAGTATGCGTAATTCAATTAAACCTTTCGTTCGACAAATAGTTCCATATAAATATTGTGTTTATCCCAAAAGTTTAGCGCAATTGCTCATCAGATGTTCCAACAAGAAAGTGGATGCTTTATAACACAATTTAATGACAACAGTGATCAGATAAATCAACTTCGCAAGATCTTGAAAAAATACACAAGTCTCTGTAGAATGCGTATATTGTCTTGTAGTATAATAAATAAAAGGAAGGACGAAGAAAGAAATTCTTAAAAAAGAAAGAAAAGAAGGAGTTCTGCAAGATCTATTCAACAATATTTTTACGATTTTTTTTCTGTAGAAAAAAGAACAATCCAATGGAAAAAAGTCATTTCTAATCAATGAATATGTGAATGTAAAGCTGGTTACGATTGTAACATTCTTTATCCGAACGTCTCGATCACTGCGTGATAGAGAATATAATATCTGATGCCGTCCAAAACTTTCATTATTTTATCATGCACACACCTACACATACAAATATACGCGTCAATAACTTTTTTTACTATAACAAGAATAAAAAATTAAAAAAAACTGTTGAGAATATTGTCCGGATGTAATAGATTCAATGAGAATGAAGTTTTGTATCCGGAAAAATTTAAGTTTAAAATGACTCGAATCATTAGTACCATATTTTCGATTAGAGTCGCCTCTCTCTGTATTGCTCTCGATAATTTTTTTCGTTCAGAGCTTCTTTTTTTTTTGTCAGACATGACTTTTAAAAGATTTTTTACTATAAAAAGTGTAGTTGTGGACGTATTTTTTTCTGATGAATTACTAATTTGAGTGACACTAAAAAAAAAAAACTTTCAGGATATGAAGAAAAATAATAAGTGTTTGTAACGACGACAGTTGTCAAATGAGTTTTGACAAGAAAGATGTATAATATGATTTGGATACTTGCTATATTACTGTCATTTTCTGCCATTCATTCTGTTAGTATTGGCAAAATAGACAATTATATTATGATTGATACGATAACTACCTCATTATTAAAAATCACCGAAAATCAATGCATATGCAAGTTGATAGCGTCCAATAGTTTAATATCTGCTGCTAATTATTTTCAAATAAATCAAACTTGTCAGTTATTTTATTCTAATCAAAGTTCTATTACAATTCAGTTTTATAATAATTCCTCGTTCATATTTATTAATCAATCATCAATATCAATAACAAATACACAAATACAAAGTAAGTTAATTGTCAATTATACAGTTGATATTTTAGTTTGGAAAAAACGGTAATTTATCGTAGATATTTTATGACATCTGTAGTGCTTAAGTTTATTATTTTTTTTCTTTCCATTCTGTTCAGTCGTCACTTCTATAACGATAAGTTATACTTCTAATTAGTTAGTTAGCTTTTTAGTCACCGTTATTTTTGTTCATGTTATATTTCATATATTATGAAGTAAACTCAATCATATCTAAGCTAAGACCAGACGAAATTGATCGAAAATTGTATGCATAGTTCTAATGCAAATGAAAAGTTACTGATCATTAGTCAATGCAGTATGTTTTAAGGTATCTAATAATACAACTGAGAATAATTGTACTTGTCATCTGAGTAACTCACACTATAAGATATAGTTAATAATATTTCTATATGACATTTTCTATCACGAAAAACTTTCTCGAGGATTTAGTTACTGCAGGCGGGTTCTATCGATATCGCATTAGATCCTAACATATGTAGCATAGTAGTATCAATGAGTTTTATTTTTAATTATAATTTTGATCAAGATAAAAATATTTGATAAGTATATCGAAGATACATTGTTTCTTGCAGACAAATAGGAGCAATTTCATTGAATTAAAGGTTTCTTTTAAGTAATAAATAATTTTGACATTTATTATTAAATATTTTCTTTCATAAGTTTAACAGTCTTGATTTTCAAGATTAATCCTTGTATGATCCATCGTATCATAACAATAGAAAAAACGGATACTCATCTGTTACATCTCCAATTAGAAATATCATAGGTTATTGTTTGATAAATATTAAACCTATTTATCAGTTCAATACAACTTTAAAACAATGAAATATTAAGCTGTTGTGCTATTTTGATAAAATTTCCATGAGAATTATATCGCACTGTTCATGAATCGCTCTTTAGTACATAACAACAACTCGATAACCATACTCAGATACATAAATATTACCACGATCACTATTAATATACCTCAAAATTCAGATTCCTCTTTGGCAAATTCGATTAATATGTTCACCCACAGTGATAGAATATAATTGATTAGCATACCAAATGATATTGAAATATTATTCTATAAATTAAGTGTCAAGAGTCTAGTTTGAAAGTTAAAGTTACCAGCATCCTGCGTTCAGATATCATTTATTGATAAACGTACATTTTTATTATTATTCTATTATAGCAGCCATTCCGACATCGTCTACGCCTACATCAGGTTCAAATTCATTAACTTCTACAACGTTAGATGCTGGTGCAACGAGCAGTCCTACATCTGCTAGTACAAGTACAGTTCCTTCAGGTATGTTATTTATTTCTTTATTGTCTACTTTGCAATCATTGTTTTGTAGGAAATCAAACAATGGAGAGCATACCAGAACATACTGTGATAACAATTACATGTGTTTCACCAACACCAACGATAAATATTGTTGATGCTTATTACGGTGTTAAAGATTTTTCGATGTGCAGCTGCGCATCAAGTAATTGTACGATAATGGACGTAACTGAAGTTCTTATTTCATATTGTGCTAACAGCAATAGCTCATCGATATGCACGTTTTCTGATAATAATTCACTATTTGGTGATACTTGTCCTAATACATTGAAAGCCTTTTGGTTAACATATTTTTGTGACTGATTCATAAATTACTGTTCGAGAATGGTTCTCTTGAAAAACTAATATACACAAATATATGAACTTGTACTTTTATGTATGATGCACCGTATATAATTAATCTATAATGGTTTTAATTTTCAACTATACTAGATACTGCTTGCTTTTTTTAAATTAAATGCTGTTTTTATATTTGTGTATGAAAATTCAAAATAAATCTTGTGGATGAATGTAAGAAGAGATTTTTATTTACGTCTAGCCACGCTCGTATTATACTCATATGTAAAGCATTAAGCTCTTGATAGTCGATGTACTTTATAAGCTATACATTTGATGAAGTTTCTTGATGTTTGAGTAGATTACTAATGCAAAATGATACTCAACTTCTATATTTTTTATGACATACCATAGACTTCTGTGTATACATCTATATACAAATCATAATCCCAATCAAAGAGTTCTTGTAAATATTCCAGTTTTCTATATCAAAATTAAGTTACGAGTAACTTCTAAGAGTGTAGGTGTGAGGATTAAATACATATACATACTCTCATCTACCCAAAATATCGTTTATCATATCTAACATGTTTAGAGTGTGAACGTTGTCCAAGAAAGACGTCTCATATCAACAGTCACCCATCCTCGAATTCAACTATATATATTAATTTTTCTTATCTTATTTCGTTTGATCTAATGAATAGTATTATTTCTAGTCAATTTGATGTCGATACGAGTATCTTTTTTGTATGTTAACTTTTTCATTTTTGCTCACTTCTTTTCAATTTGTGAATGTGTTTATAAAAATTTATTCTTTTAGATAAAATGTTGATTTGAAGTCAAAAGACAGTGTCAGCAAATCTGAAATTTGGAATAAAAATATAATTAATTATTTCAATTCTTCTAAAATTGTTGTATATTCTTTATATTCGTTTTTATAGCCAAGTAATCGACCAATGGGAGCACCTATTTTAAACATTAATTTCACAAGAGGTAATGGTAATGTTGCTGGATAGGTTTGAGCATTTTCAAAAAGTACAAATATTTGCCAAATGGATAAATGTCGATCGCGTAAGAGACCAGCAAGATTTTCAAAGAATCCTTGTCGAACACCACTGTCTTTTTTTATCGATTCAACACGAACACGTACAATGAGATCTTGTTTATTATCATCCATCCAAAATGTATGTGGAACAAGAGGTGGCACAACAAGAGGCTGAGGACATGTGTGAATATTGCATGAATATACTTTATCATCTAATTGATAGGCTAATTGACCTTGTAGAAGAGTGAAGAATTCTATTTGATTAAGATGTATATGAAGAACTGGTGTACAGGGTCGTTTCGTTGATGGTACTTGAAGATCTCCACAAAGGCCATGTGCATATATAATATTTTCAAATTCGAAATATGAATCATTTATTTGTTGAGATCGATTCAAAAATTGATATGAATCAGTATTATTTGCTACAGAAGTTGCAATCCGTGATAAGCCTGCCGTATTAGTTCTGACAAGCTAAATGTAAGGAAAGATACCTGAGATAATATTAAAAAAAACTTTTTTCTCTTAAAATTAATCCACCGAATCGCCTTGAAGATTTAAAGCGTTCTCTATTCTTCTTATTAAAAACTAGCTTTATCTGACGTGTAAACATCGATTTCGTTCCAAAAAAAGTTAGTTTCTATAGGTTACCGTATATTTTTTCAGATGATACTGAAGTTACTATTATTGACCTTACCTTCTGAGTTAGAAATTAAGGCTTTCAGAGCATTTTCTAGAGTCATTATATACTAAGGATACTTTGGCAATAGTCTAAGTCTCTATATATTCATATTTAGGAATTTCAACTACAAAATTTAAATAACGTCACTAACATTGTTTATTAAAACTATAATTTGATCATTAAAATACGCAGCTTTATGTTTTCATCTATCATATATATATAACAAAGCTAAATTTATAATCCTTGTCTAAAATACACTGATCAAATAAGATCTTGAAAAATAAAAATAACTGACCTGAGATGTCCAGTGACGATAGTAGCTCAACCATGCTGCTAAACTGCCTACTAGGAGCCATTTTGACAACCAATGCATGTTATATTTAAATTATACGTGACAAAAAAAAAGAATGTAAAAACGTTGTCTCCTAGTCATAGAGTGATATAGGGATACCTGAAAGTATAAAAGAAAAAGAACAAGAACAACACGTGGCCTCAATCCGCATACGGCGATAAAAAAATACGACGAGAAGAACAGATAAATATCATAATAAGGTATGCTTTTGTACAGGTTGATATGTAACATCAACAACCAACCAGCATAGTTTCACGTATCAAAGACGAAATAATTGAGAGGAAATCAAAAATCTTCTTCTTCTTTATAAACTTGAGATTAAAGAGATAAGAAGACAACATCTAGCCTTCTTATACAGCAATGGTATATTGAAGAAAATGCAGAAATAGATCAAGATAAGAATTTATATACAAACTTTTGATAGAAAGAAAAGACAAAGCGTGAGTGTGAATGTGGATGAGAGTGTTGATGTTTCTTTTACCCATAACGCACACCCACACCCAAATTGAGATTTAAATTATAATGAAATTTTTAAGATTATATATGTAATTTAGATTATTGTTTTAGAAAAACCTCTCTTAAATAATTTTAGTAATATTTTCATGTTTATATTTATAATTAAAAATGATTAATGGTAAGATTTATTTGGTATTTTTCTTTATGAAATCGTTTTATTTTATTATTATAAATCTATTTATTTAGATATTTACAATTAAAACTTTTTGAAAGTGTAGATGTGATGTGACTTAAGAGACGATAAACCCGCACCGTCGAGACTGGAATCAGAAAGAAGATAAAAAACACATGATGTTAAGTGTAGAGTATAAAAATTAACGACACAGAGGAAAATATTGTAGATCAAAAAATAAACTAATAATGGCAGCATTAGTAAAAATAAAGTCGATGAGAAAATATATAAACCATGCGGAAAGAGAAGTGATGCTTATCCATTAGTGTTTAGATATTATAATGATAGTTTTTTTTCTCAGTCAGATTGTCGCGTTTCATCATTTTTGGATAAAAAAATTGTTTGCTGAAGCGAGATTCTGTTATTTTGTGCCTCAATAATGTGATAAACCATTTGAATAAAATAGTTTTTATTCTAATTTGCTATTTTATTTCATGTGACAATTGTTGGTGCGGCGATTACTTATCTAAGACACCGAGCGATCGTGTTATCGTAAGAAAATATGGATTTGATTATTTATTTGTTACATTTGATTATATCAAAAACTGAAAGACAAGAAACAACCGTTTGGTATAGTAAATATAATATCCACACTCAAGATGGTTATTTTACTTCATTGATCGTTAGGAGAAAATGTTCTTGAAATTAATTTCTTTCTCTTCTATTTATATGAGAAGGAATATCTGGAATCATTTGTTATATTTTTACCTTATTTCTTACTGCCATTATTTATATCCTTTTCTTTTTTACTTTGTCTTTCTCTCGCTAGCAGTTATATATATTATCTTTTTCAACATATTTTTCTCGCTTCAAAAAATTGACAGAAAACATAAAAAAACATTCATGTTATTGTCTAAATAAAAGGAGGCGTTAGCGAAGACTAACTTTCTGCGCATTGCATTGAAGAGATCAGTCAAAAATTTTTATTCGTAGTTTACTTGAAGTGAGATAGCTATAATACAAACAGAAATATTCTCCGACAAAAGCAGAAGATACAATAGTTCTAGATATTTATCTGACATTTGTTTATAGTTATTTAGAAATATTTTCGCTTAATAATACGCGTAATACGATACTTCTAGAACGAGAAGGCGTGAATATGAATTATCACTTACCAGATACACTCGGTAGCAATTTGTTTTGCGCAACGTTAATAATGAGATTTTACTGTACAAAATGTACTGACAATCGAGATGTTATCGTTTATCTTATCAATATTCATATTATTGATACACACTCGACAGAAAACTATGATCTTTTTGTAGACAAATATTTGCTCTTTCTTTTGGTTTATTCATAATAAGTTTTGCATAATAAGTTTTGCATACTAAAATTTGTCTAAACTTTATCTTCAGGCTATTTAAAAACTGACCTGTGAGTATCACGAAAGTTCTGAAGCTAGATTGTGAAACAGTACAAAATAAAGATTCTATTTTAAAGTATTAGAATTTCTACTACATTAGAAATGGTTGCGAAAATTTCAGAATTTGATATTTATTTTGTCATCAAAAGAGAAACACTGTCATCCATGAATAATTTTATATTTTCTGTTATTCGTATCAAAAGTAGTAGTGAATAATTGTCACATAGAAGAGAATGTTATGAATCGTTTTCTAGATTTTCTGACAGTTTTTTTTAGAACCATGGTGAATATTAGTAGTAAAAACGTTATGACCAACATTAACGATTCAGATAGCACAGTTATGATTTCATATACCAGTGATACAATTATTTTTGGTTATTACAGCTTACTGGTGATTATTTTTGGCACACTACTTAATTTGTTGATGTTCATTATTTTATGTCGTCCACCTTTCCGTGGCGGACAGGCACGCCCAACACTGCATTATATGCGTGCAATCGTGTTCTTTGATATGCTGAAAGTATATGGCTGGAATTTAGACAACTATTTAAAAATCATTCACGGATTCACCTTAACCTATTCCTATACAATTGGATCTTGTAAATTCTT